AATAAAGTGAATTCAAAATGTTCACACACACACACATATATATACATCTATAATAAACTGATAATAAACATAAACGCATGAACACATGAAAAATTTCATTAAAACTTTGAGTTTTTGTTTTTTGGGGAACAAAATAGGGAAGTTGAAATTTTTACTTTCAGTTTTTGATATTTTTGTTAAACACTATAATTGTTGCTGAATTGTATTCGTTTTGTGAATGTAGAATTAAAAAAACATACATATATTCAATACTATATGAATGTTTGTATTAATATGTACACATAAATTTGGTATATGAAATGTTCCTCGACAGTCCTTTGATATCGCCTGATATTCAGAAGAAACTCTCTCTAAATATTTTGTTTTTGTTTTTAAAATTGGTTAATATTAATGCCACTGTTGCTCTTGATGAAATTTGTCTTTCGACAGAAATTTATGCATTTTTGTTTTGAACATATTTTTAGAATAAAGTTATAAATGCTTTCATTTTTAGTCTTTTCATCTTTGAGCGCATACAAGTTCATAAATGCATTTTATATATATGTATGTATATATGAATAGTTTAGAGATTTTTTATATACATATTATTGCTATATTTAAATTGTTTTCTTTTTTATTTTTGTGACAAAATAATATACGTACATACAAGTTTATTTATATTAAGTTTATAGAACCCTTAAAAGAAAATTTTTAAATATTGATGATGAAAAATCTATATAGTGCATGTTATGTTGAGATGGGGTAAAAAATCATTTTTTAAAATCAGCAAAATATGAATAATCTTACATTATGGTAAATTAAAAACGAAAATATCTTCTAAGAATATTTCGTGCACACAAAATATTAATTGTTTCTGTTTGGTGGAGTACTCGTTTGGTGATGGTTTGATGATATGTGCATACGTAATTTTATTTATAACTTATTTTCGTTTTCAAAGGAAAACATAAATTTAAAACGAAATTTTATGAATACACATGCATACAACATATGTACATACTTATATATTATATTAATATAATTATTTCCATGTAAGATATTATTATATTAATAATAAAGATGGACTCTTCATATTTTTTTTATATTTAAGATGTGGTTTCTATAAATATTTTACAAAATGTAGAGTTCTTATTTTGGAGTTGTATAAATATACATAACTCAAATATTTCGTAGTTTTTTAAAGGATATTAAATTGTAAAATAGAATTGATTCTACAAATGGTTCGAATAAACACTATAATTTGCAAATATAATAAGTGAAGATAAAATATAAATTTTGAATTAAACCAATTTTGAATGTTGCAAAAACGGCAACACAGATTTGTGAAACAATTTCAACATCTTCATCGTAAAAGGAAGGCATAACAAGTCATATTCGTATAATAATGAAATTATTATACGAATAATAAAATTCCAGCTACGAAATTTTCATATAATTATATACCAAAATGTTAAAGTTTGCAAAATGAATCTAGATAAGATTGATTTATTTACTTAACTTCAAAAATTATGTCCACATATCATAGAATTGGAGAGGTTAATAAAATAAAGGAGTTATGTGCGATATTTGTTAAAAACCGGGTTTTTACTTCGTTAGTCTTATGAGAATATTAGAAAACCCTTTTTGTCGATTTATGATTTATGCAAATTTTCAAGATTAACAAATTGTAGAATATTAGAATTCGATTTCCATTTAAATTGCAATACTAATTAAAAAAATTATTGTTTAATTTGTTTTCAAAATTTTCATAAATTTATATTAAATTGTAAATTTTCCTACCTTATAATTTATGCAAAATGTAGTAAAGTTTTGTATTCACTGTATTCACAAAACTATACTAAATATTATTCTGTATATTTTAAAATCAAAATTTAATTCATAAAAAAGTAGCTATTTAATATCAAAAATTTTATTTATTTATGCTGTTATGAAAATTAAATTTCAATTATTAATTTACTACACAAGAAATTGTTTTTTTTTTCCCAAATTCTTTTCTGATTTTTCTCTTAAAATATTATTTATTAACTCACTTACGTTATTTTATTTCAAAATATTAACAATAAAATTTAAATTTCCTTCCTAATTCTTTTCTTTTAAAAATTTTTTTATTATCTTTTTATTATCAAGTTAAGTGACAAAAAATATGATTTGGTATCATTAAGAAAAAAATTGCAACAATAAACATCAAATTTCACATAAGATACAAATATATAAATCCATTTAAATAACGGAAAAATGTTAACTGTACAATAGCGACTAAATGTGTAGGCACATCCACGCAATTTCAAAAATTTTGCTAAAATGCCAAAAATATTTGCGAATATTTCTGTTTTTTTTTTCTTAACCATCAATTTAAATAAAATTTCTAAAAAAACATAAAACTTTAATTAAATTAAAATTAAAAAAAAAAATTAAATTAATTTCAATTTTTTTTTATTTAAAGAAATAAAATGTGCGGTAATTTGTTTTTAAACGAAGAGATAATCTTTTTTATTAAAATTTTCAATTTTGACACACGAAACAGCAAAATTTTGATACCGTTATTTAAAATATTTTTCTTTTTTTAATTTTTATTCAAAACAAAAATAAATGCTTGCTTTTATTCCGATCTGTACTACTGATCTGTTCAACAGTTTGCGATTGACTAAAATTTAAAACGAATAGAGCACATTGCTGAAATGCATCTCACAAAGTGACAAACTACCAGTCGATTACAATAGTACAAAAACAAACAAAAAAATTTTTCGTTGATAAAATTTTATGTTGATTTGAATAACTTATTGTACATTTTATTATACATACATACATATGTATATATAATGTATTATATTCATATTCAACTATATTATGTGAGGAATGGAACAAAACAGAAGAAATGGATAGTGTTTTTGAAAGGTATCGTTCAAAATTAATTGCAGTAAGTACGTGCAAGTAGAATGAACATTTTCGTACATGAATTAAAGTGCGTTGAATTTGAAATTGTTATCATTAAAATATTAAGCACGAAATTTGACAGCCAACCGAAATTAGAAAATTTTTGATATTTTTGCAATATTGTAAACACATTTTTAAAGTTTTCCAAATTCTAAATTATAATACATTGTTTATCTCAAGATATTTTATAGTCTTTAAACGAATCTCATTACTAAAGTCCTAACTAAAAGTTTAGTCAAACATGTAATAACAGAGAAACTTAGCGCATACTCTAATCTTAAGTCACTACCAACTTATATTTGCCAATGTTATATATGTTTTTTATTTTACTAGACTTATTTTTTTATATGAGCGATCTATTGTTTTTCGTTAAATAGTAAAAACATATAAAAATTTTTTAAACCTAAAAAATTTAGTATTTAATTTTAAAATAAAAAACTATTTTTGATTAAACCATACTCCTACACACTTTCAACTAAACGACAGCTCTACCCATAGCATATTAAACCGATCAAAATTTTTAGAGAGAAAACGGTATTAAATGGAAACGAAACATATGAGTATTTTAATATTATTATTATTATATTTTAAGTTTTCGAACTCAAATCCTCAAACTCAAAAAAATGGAAATCGGAAAATGAGAAATCGTTTTTACTTTTTCTTGTTTTAGTTGCCTTATTTTCTTATTCGGTTCACTTGAATCGGAAACATAATAATATATTGATAAATTCAGTATTGCCATATTTCATACTCGTATTTACAATTCTCATGCGAAAATTTAAAATATAAAACTGCAAATTTTTTAAGAATAGAAAAAAGAACTGCAAGGACCAAAAATGAAGTTATTGTAAAACTAAAATGAAAAGAATTATGCAAAATTAAATAAACTCAAAGTTTTAAATACTATGACAAATATGTAATATCGCCCATAAATTTCTTCTTTCTTCATATCATAAAAACTATAAAGACATATTTGCTTGATTGACAATGACATATTCTTATGATAATTCTGGCACACAGCTTACAAATGAAAGCATATGAAATTTGGTGTATTTGGTTATTAAATCTATTTAAGATGTGTGTTCGCCAGCAGGGATTAATTTTAATTCTAAAATAACTAGTTTGGAATTTAATTGTTAAAATTTGTCTATAGAATAACACATAAGCTAACTTAACCTTCACTAGTTTAAAACCATAATTACATCAAAAATTAAGCACAAACTACAAGTGCTAGTAATCAAAATTCATAGCAAGCTAAATATTTTTGAAAATTGTTTCATGATTTCATAGCATACATATATGATAATTAACTGTTATCAAATTTTATTATTTGAAATAACATTTATTTATAAAAAATTGACATAATAAAGTTAAAAAAAATTGTAGTTCAAAAGGTGATAATGTTGAATCACATAGAGTAGGTGAATCATTTGAAGAAAAAATTGGATTACACATCGCAATATCGCCATTGTTTGTTTTTAATAAATACATAACGTCATCACTTGTATTTGTCAATCACGTCAAACATTTCCATTCCATATTGAAAGTCTTATGAATTTAAGGAATTCATTTTAAAAAATTGTTCTTGCAAAATGCTGTAGCACATAAAAAAACGCAAAAAAACTTAAAAAATTGATAATTCCTTGCATTAGCAATCAGAGCTGCAATTCATGATACTAGCGTGAAACAGTACTGAAATTCAAGACATTAATAAAGTGTTCTTTTTTTTAGCGACACCCAAATATTATAAAATGAGGTTTTATCCATTACACCTTATTCTTTGTTTTTATTAAATTTTAAATAAAATATGTAAAGAATCTTGACGTAGAACTACAGTCTGATATAAATATTTTTTCTTCAGTGTTCTAAGGAACTAAAACGCACCATATCTTCAAGACTTCTTTCCTTTCTAAAACAAACATTCACAATTGAATGTAAGAATAAATTTTTATTTAAATAAAATTAAATATTAAGTATAAAATTTTTTAATACATTGGTAATTTATATGCAATAATATAAAAAACATAACAAAAACTTAAAATTATTTTAAATTTTATTTTATATAAAATTTATTGCAAATTATACCACGCAACAATAGGTTTATTTGGTTTTATAAGAATTTCATCACTTAAATTGTATACCATACTTGCTAATATAATTTTTCTACCAACTTTTCCTTTAGTTGCTATCTGAGATTTGATTCGCATTCGATTTAAACAGCTAATGTTTGGAAATGGCACTTCTAATCTTGTAAATTTTGGATCCCAACGTGATGATAATGATGGTGCAAAATGATTACTTTTCCATGAGCATAATGGTATATCACCATCATAAACAATAGTTTTAATATAAATTTGTTGACCAGCTGATTCAAATTCATCTTTAACTTTAATCGAACAACGAAATTTCGTTGTAGTTACTTTAAGAATGTAACCCTTTATTGTTGGTTTTGATTTTCGAACTGAAAGTTTTCTCTTTATATCCGATATCCATGGTTTTTTAAATAAACTGACAGTTGAATCAGTGGTCGTCTCCAATTCCGAGGAATTTCTTTTATCTTTGGTTTTTGAATTTTCAACTGGTGATGGTGGTGATATTTCAGTACTTTCTAAATCGCAATATTCTATAGTGATTTCCAACTGGCCTTTTCCTGCATTCATACTTAACTAAAAAAATTAATTTATGGAAAGAATTAAATACATAAATAATTAAGCTACCGTGTCATTAGAAATTTTTAGTCATTTAGAATTTTACTAATTTAATTACCGTTGGTTTAGGTTGTGCAGCTGGAATCTGTGATACTGTTAAATCTTTAATGGCATACCAAAATTCATCGGTCAAATACTGATTATTATTTCTAGAGTTTCTTTTAAAAATTTTTGATTCTAAATAGCACGTTACGGTTCCTATATTTCTTTTTGCTTCACTTTTTGCCATTTTAGACTCTTCCTTTTCATTATCTTTTTCTTTATTTTTTAAATCATTTTGCTCTTTCAAATTTGTTTCTTTTGTCTTAGGATTTTTAGCGGAAGAATTCGAATTTTGTTCAGCAATTCTTTGAACAATTGAAGCACTTCGCTCCTTGAGAGATCTATAGGTTTTATTTAATCGGTTGAAATTCTAAAATCAATAAATATCTCGATATAAACCATATTTTAATTTGTTTTTGTAATTTTAAAATTTATTACAGCAGGCGGTAGCTCCAATAGTGCATAAACTGTTAATACAACAAATTGTCCATGGAAAAATTTATCAATTTCATTGCTAGAACTGTCGGAAGTGGATTTTATTGGACTGTTTTTAAAAGAAGACCTAAAATATGAATACAAATTATTAACATCTTATATTTAAAAGCATATACATATGTATGTATGTATGTGTTTAACATAGATTTTATTGTATTGTTCTTTTCAAATAAAAAGTGTGAAATATTAAAAGTACATATGTATGTATTTAAAAATAGTTTACTTTCTATCAGGTTCCAGGGAGAATTTAAAGTTTTCATTAAATTTTGGCCACGAATTCGTTTGAATACAACTGTCATACTTAGTAGTCCCTGGAAATAATTTTACCTAAACAAAAAAAATTTACTGAAAACAACCCACTTTTATAATTTAATATAAATATACATATGTATGTAATTTTAAATATGATGAAAAAAAAATTTCAAAACCTTCATTAGCTTAAATTTGAAGTTTAAGGTAATTATATTTTTTTATATCTGGGGTTTTCTGTCAGAACATAATATCTACATTTTTGACACAAAAAAGTTCTGGTTGCAGTATTATTTAAATATTTAAGTACTTTCTATTGCAAGAAAAAAACTTTTTCTAGTATTTTTAAAAAATTCCTTGTGAAACATTACAACTAACCAATTGTTCCGAAATATTTTCTTACAAAATTAGATATCAACAGTTATTCACTTCTCGAGATCATAAAATTTTCTAAGAACGCGTTAAAATATAGATAATGAAAATGTATTCTAGTTTTTTTAATGTTTCGTTTCAAGTTTAAAATGAAACATCTACACATATTAATTTCTACATTTAATATTTAAATGTTCATGTCGTTTATTATTATATTAATGAAACGCGCGTTTAAAAACATTTAAAACTAGATACATATGTATATGAACTTATTCAGTTCTGACTGATACTAATTGCAATTGGGAAGTGTATATCTTATTTGATATAAAAGAATAATTTAAAATTTTAATATTATGTAACATTTAGTAACAACATTTTAAAATGCTTTTTAAATCATCCTCGCAAAATTTTCACTAGTTCATGTGTTAGTAAAACAAAAATAACACGAAAAAATTTCAATGGTGTTTTACTCAAAATGACGAAAATGCAGATATCATGATCTAACAGAAAAGCCTAGATATTTTCTAAACTAAACAGTATAAATGCAATACATAATACAAAAATAAAAATGTCATTATTATAAACATGCACCTTTGTTGAATACAAAAAAAATCAAGAGCCTTTGCTAAATTTTACCTTAACAACATAACCTTGCACAGATTTAAGTCCAAAAAGTGTTGGTAGATGTCGCGCACCTATTAAATTAACATTCAACTGTGGCTGAATTTTTCGATGACTTTGGGCTTGGTTTGTGCCATCGCTATTTGGTGATAAATCAATTAATAATTGAAATCCAAGCTCTGGTTCTAAATTCGCTGAATTACGATTTAATACTAAATTTGCGCTTGCATTCGGAAAAAACGATCGAATTTTATTCATATTTATATTTGAATTTGCTTTTTCCAATTCAGCTACAAAAACTAAAAAGAAAGAAAAAAAGAGCTTAATATTGTTTTTTGCCGAAAAAACTTTTTCAATTTACAATACCGTTAAAAATTTTTTTATTACCGTTTCTATGAATGTGTAAGTGATATTTTAATTAACTTTATTTTGAATATATACAGCGAACGCTTTAGTGATGTTCATTTGTTCTCATATGAGCAAATGTGTGTACATATTATGTGTGTATATAATTTCAACTTTTGTTTTTAAAAACAACTTTTCGGAATTGCAATGAAACCAACAGAATAGTATTGATTGATTAATGATGATTATATAACCTCATCTCATCTTACTTAAGTTTTTTAGCAATCTTGTTTTGTTTCTTCTACATCCACTTATATTGATATTTTGATATTAAATCATCGTTTTGATTTTCTGTAAAGAAAGGAAAGAATCGTGAGTAATATTAATTTAATACAAAATAAAATGTTAATTTATGAATGTCAGAATGTCGTCAATACTTTAATTATAATAATTGTCAAACGAAACTGTGACTTCCACGGTTATTGAAATTTTTATTATGACTGAATTACACAAAAATGAAATGTATATTAAATGTGGTTTATCGCGAAGTTAAAGAAGAAAAATAGAAGAGCGAATGATCTTAAATAAGAGCATAAAAACAAGTTGTTTTGATTTTGCGCGCATTGCACAGCGTAATCATGAGGGTATTTTACATTACAACTTTAAATTTATAGAATTGAACATGAATATTGCAGTACTATTGCATACTATCAATTCAATTTTATTGAATATCGTATATTAATAGTAAATTTACGCAAGTCACTCATTTACGCAAGTCACTCATTTTTTAATTTTATAAATAAAATTAAAAAATATCTAATCAAACAATTTTTCAATCAAGATATATATATTTCCCACCCATACATAATTATGTAAAATTCGAAATATTTATTTAAAATTACATTAAAAAACATGAAAAAGAAAATTTAACAAAAATCATTGATTTACAACAATAAATTCTTAAACAAGAAAACATTTTTATGTAACTATAATGACATTCAGAGCAATAAAATTCGCATAAAAAGGGCGCACGTTAATTAGCGGCTGTCAAACTTTGTATAACTAGCTCCAGCCTGTTGAAGTAATATCGACTTTCTTCTAAACTTTACATTTTCAATCAAGTGAGCTTTGAACATCAAACTCAGGTTTACTTGCCATTATTTTCTTATATGTAGATACATATGTATGTATGTACATTATATGTCTGAAGTAAAACAAAATTTTAATGTTTCGCACGTGAATTGATTTCTCTAATATATGTTACACTTGTCAATAATATTGTATAAATGAGCTTACTCAATAACTATATTCTCGTCTCAGGGTATAAAATTTACTCTCCTTGAATTTAAAAAAAAACCAATTTGCATATTTTTCAAGAATACAATTCTCAAACTTTATTTAAGCTAGACATAAATTTTTAAATTTACTCAAACGTGCTATTAATAACAGAGATAGAGTGTTAACTATTAAATACACTATTATTCGGGCCCAAACCTCGTAAATTCACGAGCTTTAAAATCTTGTATTATTAAAAAAAATATAAAACTTCGTATTCAGAAATTTTTTTCAATATTTTCAAGTCGTACTGACAAATTGTATTTTTGACGACAAAAAAATTTGGGTAAGTTTGAATGCAAACTTCTGAGATTCAAACTTCTAAAAACCATCGTACTCCATTATGGAAAATTTTATATAAGTATGCACTATTTGATCAAACTTTAGTGTATGTTTTATAATAGCACTACTGTTATGTTTCGATTTACCATATTTTTCCATAATTTAGTATATAAGTACTACATTTTAATACAGTCAAGCACAGGTTAAATAAAATTTTATTATATTATACCCAATTCGTATATTTCCGTAAAGTACTAAACTATATTATACGAAGCTAACAACACTCGAACTAAAAGTTAAAGTTTCATACTTAATTATTTAAATTAATTTCGTAATTATTATAATTTCAGCGCATTTTAGTCTAAAATCCGTGCGCTACCCGCAAATTCAAAAAAAAAAACAAAATATTTTGTACTTAATATGGAACAATGAAACATTTTTTCATTCTTTTGTTATAATTTTCAATTAGGGCTTGCAATAATAATAATTTCAATATAATAAAATAATTTATTCAATTTTGATGTGAACGTTTTTATGAAAATAAAAATTTTGTTTTATAATGCGAACGAATAAACGATCTTTAAACTAATTTTATTGAATGAATTGAAAACAATGACTAATCATACAAAAAATAAAGACATTGGGGATTTTCGCCTTTCCTAAAACAGGTAGGGATTTTTCAACTGATACAAGTATTTGCGAGTACTCGTATTTAAATTAATACATAAAAAAACGAAATAAACTTTCAATTATACAATCAATCAGTAAGAAAGAAAGTTATTGCAAAACGAAAACTAAAGAAACACTTTACTCAAAAAAATTTTCATAAATTATAATTTTTCTAATTTCTTAGCACTACTTTTACGGTATTCTATTTGTAAATATTGAAAATTTCTATTAATTGTTGAATTTTTTGTACATTTCCAAAAAAATATTGGAAAAAATTTATCATTGGTTTCACGCTATCCCTTCATCTGTCCGTCGGATTACAAAACTTGAAAGAGAGAATAAACTTACAAAGAGAAAATAATGAAATTTTGTACACAAATATCTTAACGAGGGTACGATACATTTAAAAAGTTGTAAAAAATACATATTTTTGACAACGAAGTGTATAAACCAAGTTTAAGCTCTGTAAACGCAGACAGGATTGGAGTTAATTTTTGTATCTTTAAGATAACCGTTACCTAAAACAAAGTTCCTCCAATTCCCGATGAAATTTTTCTCTCACGCAACCATTTGAATTCGTCGATAAATTATTTTGTAGCTTCTCAACTTTGCGAATTTCATTCCCCTCAAAATTTATTTACGTCTAATTCTAACATATGATTTATACAATTATTTGTTATATTTACAGGGGAATTATTATAAAAGATTATTTTTATTTTTTAAAACTAAACTTAAACCAATAATGTAGATACTGCAAACTAGACAGACTCAAATTGTTCAAGAGAAATGTGCTAATTTATGAACCATTTATCGACTACATAAATTTCAAATAGCCGATTGAAAATTTTGAATTTTTGTAATTGCAGTGATTCATAAAAATACCTCAATTTTAACACCAAATATGATACCACACCCACTGTAAAGGTAACAAAATTAAAAATATTATATTATTTGAAAAATATTAATGAATTTGAATAAAACTTTACATTTTGAAATAAGCACTTACATATGTATGTGAATACATATGTATGTTATATGGAAGTGTTTTCACTTTATTTAGTTTTGTTCTTACTATTTCTCATTAAATTAAATTATTAATTAAAATACGGAAACCTCAAAACTTGTGTTTCCTTTTCGATGAAAATTCATCATGTAAAGCTTAAATAAATAAAGCATAAAATATCAACGAAATGAACTCTATTTACAGTTTGTCATCCATTTAAATGTTAATTAGAAATGATCAGAACAATTTCTATAAATAGGTGATTGAGAGCAAAAACCGTCTCAAAAATTAAGAAAATTAAAAGTATAGATCGTATCCTTTCATTTTTGATTTTTTTATTATACTTTTAAAAGAAACCTTCTAGTGAACAATTTTTTATTAATTAAAGATATTCACTCATTGATGTAGTGGTTAAAAAACATTGTCAATTAAAATTCAATAACATATTTTGAAAAAAAAAATGTTTCCGTCCGTCCATCCGTGGACATCTTTACAAAACTCCTGCCTTCAAACCCTTGAAAATTTATTTCTAAAAACTTATTTCCGTTAAAGAAAATTTTTACCTATCTCCCCCCTCTAAAAATGCCAATTTTTGACTATTCGTTGTAAGGAAACCATAAACATTTTTCAAATTTTACAAATAACATTTTTAGCATATTTGAATTGAATATTATCTAAAAATCGTTTTTTCCATTCCAAATTTTTGAAACGTTCTTCTTCTACACCTCAGGTTGTACGAATCTAAAATTTTATCAGCTTTTAATGCCATGCCATTAAAAAATATAATAATTATTTCTCTTAATTACGCAATTGAAACGTAATTTGGAACATTATCTTAAAGCCTCTTTAAATTTTTCTTTTGCTTTATTTCAAAGATTTCATACATTTCCTGTCCTAAATTGCACACATTGGCTATCTTAAACGTGTACAATCTTTAAAATTTATTCGTATATGAATAAAAGTGCTACATTGCAAACCACTACTTCGACCCAACTTCATTAAAATTTTGTTCAAGAAAATAATATTATACACTATTTAGTCACAATTTTATTTGTTCAAAATTTATTCAATAAACATTATAAATTTTGCAAAAATTATAATGCAAACGATTCTTATTTAGATATTATGGGTTTTTACAGGTTGATAGAGAATCTCATGTATTGATATATTGATGTATCAGAGCAAAAATTTTCATGGCTGGAACAACATTTTATAATTATGCGAAAAACATTTCCTTCGTTTTCCTTTAACCAAATTTTCAGTTCAAATTTTACTTTTTAGGAATTTCCTTATTAGGGTTGGAGAAAGTTTCAAATTAAATTTGAATATTAAAATTAAAATGAAACTTATTCTGACTCTTTATTTCTTTAAGGTCAATTTCAAAGACACAATAATATAATTAATTGATCATGATTTAATTAGTATGTCATCCATTATATTCGTTATAACAAAAACTTGTTAAAATGCTAATTCTTACCCTTTATATTGAAAAATATTTAAAAATTCAAACTTGAAATTAAAATTTATTTGACCTACATATATACATATATCACAATTACGCTATGCATATTGATGCTAACAAACTGAAAATAAAAGCAAATCTAAAGTGCTCATAAACCATTTTGAAAATCATATTTCGACTTTGCAAATAAAATATTTGACAACTTGTAATATTTTTGCCCAAAGTAGAAGCAATTTTTACCATTATATAACAAACATATTTCAATACTTCTTATAATAAAACGCACTAAGATTAGTTAAATTAGCATATTTCATTTATAATCCAATTCTGATATGTGATTGTTGTAATAAAAGTACATATATATGTAAATACTTCTTTCGGCAATAGCCCTTTTGTGTTTTTCAGAATAAAATGTAGTTGAATAAAAAAATGTTTGATGGACACAAGTTTATCGGTGTTCAAATTATTATAGTCCATTCAAAAAATTTCTTTTATTCCAAACAAAAAATTTATTTTCATAAACGACTATAAAGGAAAACTAATTT